GTCAGTCTCTGCCTCCATCTCTGGCATCACTGTTTCTCTATGTGGGGTCTCGCACTCTGCTCTTCTCCCTTGATGGTCCCAGGGACCTCTGCTCCTGCACTGCAAAATCAACCACTGCCCTTCTTTTGCTACAAAACATCTACCTTTACATTTCCAACCCTCACAAGCAGTCCTGATAACAATTATTCACTATTGTACCACAAGAGTCCTGTCCCATCTCCTTTCATTAGCCCCACCCAGACAGATTAGATACTACTCAGTGAAGATTCTACCTTCCTCTGCACCCTTGGGATCTAGGCTCCCTCCTGAAAGTTTATAAGCCAGTCACTTCTTACCCCCCACATTTTGGGTAGCCAATGCCCAAGTTGCCCATCTCTGTCTACTCTGTGTATGGAGGGGGTGGGAATGATCCTTCATGCAAAGATTTGTTCCCTCTTTTGAGCTACTGCATCCAAAGGTATAGGTCAAGTTCACCAAATTGTATCAGATTACACTTTTTTTTCCCCTCTTCTTTCCTCTTCTTGTTGAGTTTTGACCATCCAGCCATTAAAGCCAGGTCAAGTGGGTATTATCTGCAAGTGTGAGTGTTCTTGTGCATATGCCCTCTCTTCATATCAGCTGGACGCTTCACTCTCCACTGTAGTCCTCTGTGGCTATGTCAGTGACTCTGGGCCCACGAGTCCCCAGGTCATGCTACACTGCTGGCTGACCAGGTCTCCACCCGGGTTCACAAGAGTCTATTGAACGTTGTACGGCTTAGCTCGCAGCTTCGTTGCTGTTTTTCCCTCACTTCCCCTTTTCAGTGATGAACATGGTCACCAATCAGAGCGTGTATTCCCATTGAGTCTCAGTCTTGGAAGGGGATTTGCCCTGAAGGGACCTGACCACTTGCCTTGATGTCTCCTGGGCAGAGCAACTTGCTTGTTCTTGTAGCAATCAGTCGGACTGCCTCTATTGTTTTGTATTTTTCCTGTCAGTGACAGAACCTTCTTAAGAAGTGATTCTTTCCATCCTCCAGACTGCTGGCTTTCTTCTAATAAAACTTGGATTGGATCTCTCCCAGTCTCTGTGATTGCCTACGGTGACAGGCGGCAAACCCTCTTTTTGGTTTGGCAACATTCAGAATTAGAAACACTGGGAACAGAACCCAGTATTCTGTATTTCAACTAGCCCTCCACATGACTAGACACCCAATCAAGTTTAAAAATCACAGACATATATAGTATGTGACACTGTGAGGTAAGCACTGGACCACAAGTTCGGTTTTAACCACAATGTTGGCAATTCACACTCACCAGCTGCTCCTTGGAAACCCCATACAGGAACCCACTCTATGGCACTTAACAGCTAATGTGTATTGGTGAGCCACACAGCTGGTAGGACAGCTACTCTGAATGCCAATCACTGGCCATACTGGTAAAATGTTCAGGGTTAGACATACTGCTATATGTTGTTGTTGTCATTGTTAAGTGCTGTTGAGTTGGTTCCAACTCATAGCCACCATGTATAGGGTTTCCTACAAGTGGCTGGTGAGTTTGAACCTCTGACCTTGTGGTTCAAACTGACCTTGTGGTCCAACGCATTATCCTACAGTACCTCAACAAGACTCCACTGCTGTATGTGGGGGCTTCAAAAAGTGGAAAAATTAAATGAAAAGATAATGGAATTGTCCCACAAACTTTTTGAAAGCCCCAAACATATATACATATTTATTAAATCATAAGCAGTATTGTACCAATGAGCCCTGGTATGGTGCTGTAGGATACACACTGGACTGCTAACTGCAAGGTCACCGGTTACTCCATGGAAAACCTATACATATGAGTTGGAACCAACTTGATAGCATGCAACAACAATATTGTTGATGTAAATTATGAGACATTTCCAAAAACAGGTATAAAAAGAAAGATTATAGTTATTGTTAAGTGCTGTTGAGTCGATTCCAACTTATCGGGACCCTGTATAGGTTTCCAAGGAGCAGCTGGTGAGTCTGAACCTCTGACCTTGTGGTTCAAACGCACCGTGTAGTCCAGTGCATTATCCGGCAGTGCCACACCAGGACTCCAAAAAAAAGGATAGTAAATGGGATATGTGCTCCAGTATATTTCCCCAGCCTAAGCAAGCATGACTGTAGTGGAAACGCTCCAATTCTAGTTAGGGTCTTTTGTACTTTTTCTAGTGAGAAAGGCAGCTAGGGGATCTATCTGATGCAAGTAGGTGTAACCAGCACTGTGAGGAGAGTCTTCATTTCCTAGTAGCAGCAGGGGTTGAATGTTTAAGTGGAGAGTGGAACAGGAGGCTGCCTATTAGGTTTCTTGTAAGCTCCACAGATGGCAGTTTTTGGTTAGTACGAAAGTTGGTCCAGTTTTTAGGAAGGAGAATTGCAGTGAGAGAAAGTTTTCTCCAGGAAAATCTTTCAATGGCCCAATAGGGAGATGGCCCGGTGGTTCAGTTGTTAAAGCACTTAGCTGCCAACGCAGAAAGTCTGACTGTTCCAGCTGGGAGAGAAAGATGTGACCGTTTGCGGTAAGATTTACAAGTTTGAAAACCTGTGTTCTACTCTTCTGACCCATACACTTGATATGACTCAGAATTGATTCGGTGAGGTGGGGTACAAAAACACTCATGAATGAAGGTTTAAATCAAGGGTCTAGAGCATTTTCTTCCATTCTGCCTTGTATGGGAAGGATGTGATTTGATTTTTTAAAGCCTGCTGGTACTGTTAATTGGGACTGCATTGAGTCTAAAGATCAAGTTTGGAATTGACGTCTTGATAAGACGAAGATTGTCCAATTCATGAACAATAGTATGAAAGTTCCACTTCGTCTCTCATTACTTTTTTTTACAATGTTTACTGCAAAGTTCTTGATTTCTTTTATTAAACTTATTTCTAATTGTGCTCCATTTTTTTCCCCACATAATTTTAAAACATTTCTGTGCCAGCCTCACTTACACACCTTTGCATACATTTTAAGGTTTAAAAACCCACTCCATCTAAGGGTACGGAATCCTGGTGAGGCGCTGTAGGATAAGCACTGGATTTCGAACCCACCAGCCTGATGTTAAGCGCCATCGAGTCGCTTCGAGAGCTTCCGAGAGCGGCTGGTGAGTTCGAACCACCGACCTTGTGGTCAGCCATCCAATGCTTATCCTACAGCGCCACACTAGGGCCAGAAAGTCTAGCGGCGTTAAGTTGGAACTCCGAAAATCCACGCCGACTTCACCCGAATGCTGCAGGCGAATTCGTCCCACGTCGAGTCCGGAAGCGGCCGTTATCACCGCCCCGGCGAGTCCGGAAGTGAGCGCCGTCTGCGCCCCCGCGAGTCCGGAAGTGAGAACCACCTGAGTTCCTGCGGGTCCGGAAGTGAGCGCCGTTCCCGCTCCCCACTCGTTTTGCGCGCATCGGGGTCTCTCGGCCGGAACGCAGGTGGTGCCCCACCCGCCCACTCGGTAGGCGCTCAGGACCGGGAACCGGCCTCCCATGTGGCCGGGAAGGCGGGGGCGGTGGGCTGCAAGCTGGGGTTCTCTCTTTGGGGCTCCCACCTTCCCTGCACGGAAGTTTCGGGGAGGCGAGCCCGCGGTTCGCTCCAGCGCCGCGGCAGGTGCGGCGGTCTCAGGGCGGGGACAAGGAGCGGGCTTGGGTGATGGGCGCTGGTAGTTTCCGGGAACCTGTGGGAGACGCTCGGAGCCGCCCCAGAGCGGGCCAAACGACTTCCCGTTTCTCCCCGTCCCTGGCCGCCTCGAGATGGACTAAGGCGAGATAACGGTTTCCTGCTTAGTTGCCTCCCTGGAGAGCGTAACGGACACACCTCCCCGTAGTCGGAGTGAAGCGTCTGGTGGCGGCGCCTGTGGCTGTCCCCGTGTCACCTTGGGGACCTGGGGGATGCGCTGGGTAAAGGTCAGCAGTTGGAACCCACCAGGCTCTCCACTGGAGAAAGGTGTGCTCTCCTTCTGTAACGATTTCTTGTTGTGAAGTGCCGGCCAGTCGGTGTGACACATAGCGACACTTTATAGGGTTTTTGAGGAGCGGCTGAGTTTGAACCGCTGACTTGGGATTGAAACCGACCTTTCCATCCAGTGTATTATTCTGCAGCACTACCCTAGGACAGCCTAGAAAATTCTGTGAGCGATTCTGCACTCATATAGGGTCACTATGAGTCCGAAGCAATCGACGGCAGCGGGTTTGGTGATTAACATCAAATTTAATGGACGTTATGGGGAAATATGTGAAAAACTAACCAGAACCGTCTCTGGAGGCAGAGTTTGGAGAAGCTGATCAGTGTGTAGCCGTCAGCTACAATGTTCTCTGTCTGAAGAGTCTCTTACGTCTCACTCATTCAGCGGAAACTTCTGGGTGTTCTGCTATCCCGCCAGCTGTCAGTCCCTGGAGAAGAAGGAAGAGAAAGCTGAAGGTTCCCCATCTATGCCAGCCCACTTGAACTGTGATGAGAATTTTAAGAACATTTAAAAAAAAAAGCAAAACACAAACCCCTTTTTCTCCCCTTTTGGTTATCCTTCCAGTGGAGGCCAGCACAGGGCTAATGGGAGGTGGGGGAAGGGAGTGGGGCTCTGGTATGTGGGGGACCAGAAGCTTGTGGGCTGCAGGGGATTCCTGGCTCATCCAGGAAGGATGAGGCAGATGCTGAGCTAGTGCAGCCTTGAGGGAAAGTCCCCCCAAGAGGGGTGAGGGAACTCGCCATAGCTGCCTCAGCTGAGCCTGGCTGATTCCCAAGCCCTTGGGTCTTTGGCTGGTCAGTCAGATACTGAGAATGAGCTGGGTGTCTGTCTTTGGTCAGTGGGGTCAAGGCCACCATTAATCTGTGCCCCCTCTTCCTCAACCTCCCAGGATCCTGTTAGAGTGACCCTAGAACATTCGGGATGTACATGCAGGTGGAGGTACACACGGGCTCCCAGCTCCACCTGAAGAGGACTCCCGGCATCAGGTCCTGGTCGCTTCTGGTTGGTAAGGATTCGATGTTTCTCCACGAAACAGACACGTGACCCTTAGAAAGTGTCATCAGTTCCTCCTCCTCTCCTGGGGCTCCAGACCACAGCAAATCTGTTTCCTTTTCAGATTTTATCCTACAATCTGTTTTACAAATAACGTGTGTCCACTCTGTTATGTGTCTACTGAACGCCCTTTTGTTAGCACTTCCTGTGTGTCTCTCAGAGGTCACTGTGTTTGCCTTTCATACTCAGACACACCTGGTCGTGTGTACTCTGATTTACACCCCCAGGTCCTTTCTGGTCTTGTCACCTTTAACGATTGTGACTGAGGCTTTGCCCACAGGTATAATCCAAGGGCTAGTTCTGTTTTGAAGGCTTGCTACCTGCCAAACCTTGTTGTAGATGCTGAGGATAACAGCATGCCCACTCTTGGGAGCTCAGGATTGCCCTCGTCCTGAGGGAGGAGGCTGGGGGAGGGTGGTTCTCTCCCTCAGCCCCTTCATAAGTCCCTTTTGACCCTCATCCCTCTTGTCAGGGAGGGGTGCCAAGCCGTAGCTCCTCACAGGGGCAGCCTTGTCCCTGCCCTGTACCATGAGCTCATGGGCTCCTCTTTCTGGTACCTATGATCTCCCCATGTCTGTGGAGAGAGTCTTGGTGTATAAGACTTTGCTTTTCTCGCCAGGAATCCTGTCCATCGGCCTGGCTGCCGCCTACTACAGTGGAGGTAAGTGGTCAGCCCTCTCCAGTCATGCCCCGGGGCCTAGGATGGGGAGGAGCACCACGTCCAAGCCCGTTTTCCAACACATCTACCTCTTGGCTGCCTTCTCACCTGGAACCCCAAACCCTGGGGCATTCCCTGAGAGTGCTATCTGACATCGAAAATGCTGCTGTGAGGGGCAGAGCTGGAGGAGACAGGACCCCGAGGCGTAGGATGGTGGGCCTGGGTAGCCAGCCGGCTGGACAGCATTCTGCCACCGCGGCCCCAGCTTGGCTGCTATGTGGGGCCTCCTCACTGAGCAGCTGTGTTTGCTCTGCAGATAGTCTGGGCTGGAAGCTTTTCTACGTGCTGGGCTGTCTGTTTGTGGCGGTGCAGAACCTGGAGGACTGGGAGGTAAGAAGCTGGGGCAGGGTCATGAGGGGCTGGGGAGAGGGACTGCCTCTCAGGCTTGGCTGGGTCCCCGCTGCAGGGGAATTGGCTCTGCGGGTGTAGTTCTCCCAGCCTCGTCTTGTCTGTCTAGCTGAGTCGGCCCTGCACGTGGCCCCTGTGCCTCTTCTCTGGGTTGGGTGGTTTGGGGCAGCACCCTGGGAGCTGAGGAGGCCCCTCCCCGAGTCATTTTCTCAGACACTTGTGATAGCCACGGTGCCGCCTCATCACAGAAGGGAACGCATGGGTTGGGGGCAAGTCTGCCGTCTTCAGTGGTGGTGTCCCCTGCCACTCCTGAAGCCACCAGGGCCCAGTGCTGCTCTGATGTCTGCCCTGCATGTCCTGGTTGGTGTCTTGGCCCTACGGCCGCATTGTCCTTCCTCCCGTTGTAAAGCAGAGCGGGTGTCGGCTTGGCTGCCCCCGGCTCCAGCCGTAGGAGCTGCTTCTGAGCTGTTTGGTTCTGTGTGGGTGTCTCCAGGGAGGACAGCATGTCTAGTGGCCACCCTCGGGGCTCCTGGAGGCAATGGTGGGGTCTGCATACAGAACCGGGGTTTGGCTGATGCCCTCTGCTGGTTTCCCAGGAATCCATCTTTGACAAGAGCACCGGCAAGGTAGTTCTGAAGACGTTCAGCCTATACAGGAAGCTGCTGAGTCTCTGCAGGGCAGGCCATGAACAAGGTGAGTCTGCCATGCCTGCACACCAGGCCCAGGGCTGTGCTCGTGTCTGCGTCTGTGGGGGTGGGCCTGGGTGCCTGCGAGGAAGGGATGGGACAGTCCTTGGTGGAACCCAATTCCCTTGATCTTTGGCTGTACCTGGAGAGATGCTGCCCCTCGGGTCCACACCCACCACTCTGTAGTGTGGGTGCTCGAGCTCATTCAGTAAAAGGTGCAGGGAAGCAACCAGAGGGTGCATCCAGTGAGGGATCAGCTGTGGCCCCTCAGACAGCCCCCCGCTGTGGAGCGGACTCACAGACTCTGTTGCCTGGTCGTGGGGGTCACCTGGAGCTTGACCCAGGGGCAAGGGAACATGGCCTAAGCTCTGCAGGGTCTGTGCTGAGATCCCTGGTAGCCACTTAGGGTTACAGGAGGGGGGGCTGTCCCAAGTATCTGAGGAGGGGTCTCCTGGCAGCTGCCCCTGAAACTTGTGGGTGACCCCTTGCTTAGAGCCAGGAAGACATTTCCCAGCAACTGGAGGTGAAAGGAAAACAGAGAGAGGGCAATGTGAGTCCACCCCAGAGCTGATGTGTTAGGATGAACACTCATAAAGCGTGCTTGTGTCTCCATGGTAATGAGCAAGCTAGTAAGGCCATCACCATGGTGACAGTCACACTGTGGGCCTATCTGCCCATCAGTCCATGTGATGGCTTCTCTCACCCAGACTACTGGTGGCCAGCAGTTGCAGCTTCCTCTGAAATTCAGAGCATGACCACGTGTGGGTCATCTACGATCTGGGGGCCAGGCTGGGCCTGTGGAGACTCCCCTTTGATGTAAAACCACAGGGTTTTTGCCCTTGGTGGCTGAGGTGGGCAGGTGGAGGTGGGTCCCCTCTGACCTATGCCTCCCACAGTGGTGGTCCTGTTGAGCGACATCCGGGATGTGAATGTTGAGGAGGAGAAGGTCCGGTACTTTGGGAAGGGTTACGTGGTGGTACTTCGGTTTGCAACGGGCTTCTCACACCCCCTCACCCAGAGTGCTGTCATGGGCCACCGAAGGTAAGTGTGGGAAGGCCAGGCCCCCGAGTGCATGATGGTCGTCTCCTGGGAGGAGGTGTCCTGTGTGTGGGATGAGGACTGAAGCGAATTCAATCCTGGCCCCGGCTAACTCACTGTCTTGTTGCGCTGACCTCACCCAGTGATGTAGAAGCAGTCGCCAAGCTCATCACCAGCTTCTTGCAGCTACACCACCTGGAGAGCCCCGGGGACCTGTCTCAGAGCAGCGACAGCGAAGTGGACGAGGGGGGCCACAGCTGACAGCCCCTGCCCCCGCTCCCACTGCACCTCGGCCACACATTTGCCTCTTGTTTTTATTGTCTTACACTCACAGGAACCTCATTCCCAGTTTCCTGAGGGCAGGACATCTGAGTGGGATGGTGTGGACTTGGGCTGCCCCGGGCTGTTGTGAGACCTGGGCTCAGTCCACCACCTCAAAACCGTGACTTTCCGCAGCCGGTGGTGGAGCCATGTCTCCCAGATCACAGCCCAGTCACGTGCCTGGGACTTGGGCTCTGCAGCCAGAGAGCAGCCAAGTTCTGTCCACTGCCTAGGGAGGGGCACTGGCAGAGCCAGGCCCAAGTGCCCAGGTTTCAGAGACCCTTGGACATGGATGCCTGAAGTCCAGGCACTGCCC